CTAATAGATGGCACATATTAAATATTAGAGATAGATTTATTCTTAGAAAGAAACATATGTCTTTTTTTGAAAAGAAATTTGATTTTTCCAATTGTATTCATATTAAAAGAACTTATAGCTATAAAATTTGAAAGTTTTTTCTTATCATTAGAAAAATAAGAACTTGCTCTAAAGTCTATAGTTCATTTATTATCTATCCTTGATATCATGACTAAAAGATTGATTTTTACTAGAGCTATTTGATTGTTGGCTATCAAAATTGTTGACTATTAGATAGTTAATTATAAGATTTGACAACTTCATTACTAGCCTTCTAAGTTAGATTGTTGACTTTATTCTTAATATTTTTGATATATTGCTTAATTTCTTGATGTTGGAAAAAAATAAAAAAAATTCATTTAGAAGTAAACTTATTTGATAACATAATTTTTTTTGTAATAATCACATCTATTTTACAATGACTCAAAAAATTGTTTCAATATTGACATATTTTGCAAAGAATGGTGTATTACAGATAAATTGTAGTGAATAATGACATGTGGTTTGTATAGCAAATAAAGTACTCCTTTATAGCTATTAAATAAGTCCATATAAAAAAGAATCCATTAGATAATTGCGGAGCTATGACCAATCTAATTTGGATTGACTGTAGTGTCTAATTTTTGTATTCCATCAATTATTTAATATTACATCATTCTATCATCATGAAAATTACTATGACAATATTATTACTAATCTAATGATAATATTATTGCTTACTAGCAGCTATATAAGCACCATTCTTAATCACAATTCCTAGTATGGATATATTCTAAATTGCTACATGTTAGGACCTTCTAAAATCTTCTATAAATTTTAAGAATCTTTTGAATACTTGTAAAATCTTCTACAATTCCTTGAACAACTATGAGACCCATTCTTTGCTCTTTCCTAGACAATATCATCTTTGCTCTTCTTCATTCTCAAAACTCTTATGGCCAAATTGCTTCTGAATTTGGCTACAGTAAAGCTACTATCTCTAGACTAGCAAAAAATATCACTTTTAATAGGAAGAATCTTAAATTAGGCAAACCAAAGAAGCTTATTATAATAGATGAAAGAACAATTATTTGCCAAATCAACATTGGGAAGGCTGAAAATGTTATTGAGGTTGCTAAAAATCTTAACAATATTATCAATAATCTTATGTCAATCCAAACTATTTGAAATATTCTCAAGAAATGGAATATGAAAGCCATGGTGAAGAAGAAAAAGCCACTACTATCTACCTGCTATTGGAAATAATGCTTGGATTTTGCTTTGAAGTATAAATAATAGACTATGAAGAATTGGAAGAAGGCTATTTGGTTAGATGAGAAAAAAATCAATAGATTTGGATCAGATAGCAGAAAGTGGATATGAAAACAAAAAGTTTAGTCCTTACTTGACAAGAAGATCCAAGAAACAAGTAAGCATGGAAGTAGAAATATAATGGTATGGGGTTGTATGGAATGGAATGGAGTTGGAAAGATGATAGAGGTTGAGGGGAGGATGGATATTGAGCAATTTGTGGAAATTCTTGAAAAAACCCTACTTCCTAGCATTGAAGGAGGTGACTTTCTAGCAAGATAACGATTCCAAATACAACTCAAAATTAACATGAAAGTAGTTTGATTATTATAGAATTAAAATTATGGATTGGCTTGCTGAATCTTTTAATCTTAAATCATTGAACATCTTTGGTAGTACTTCAAATGTCAGCTCAACACTTGGAAGATAAAACCAAATGGAGTTTGAGAATCATGGAAAAGAATAGGTGTAGAATAGAATAATATTGAAGCAATTTTGTACCAAAAGTTAATAGAAAGTATGCCTAAGAGGTTGGAAGTAGTTATCAAGGCCAAAGGAGGTCCTACTAAGTACTGATATGTAATTGGATACCACACTCAAAAAAATGTTTCAATACTATTCCTAATTGGATTAGTCATAGCTCTACAATTACTTGATGGATTTTTTTCAACCTGGGCTTATTTAATAGCTGTAAAAGAGTAATTTATTTGCTATATAAATCATATGTGATTATTCTCTATAATTTATTTATAATATACCATTCTTTTCAAAATATGTCAATATTAAAATAGTTTTTTGAATCATTGTAATAGATATAAATTAATACTCTATTTTTATTTGAAGTTCTTTTCAACTTCTTTTAATTTTCTTTTGTCTTTGTTACTACCATAGATTCTTCCATTGGTTTTTTAGACATGTGATTATGTTCTTCTATTTGCAAGTAATTTTAAAAATCAGAGAATGATATGTTAGAATTTGCAGTAAGAATATTAATAAACATATTTTTAAAGAGATCCATATCATGGGCAAACTTACCAATATCAATTAGATGAGTGTGTTGTCCTCTAGATTGTTATCAACTTTAGCCATGTTTGTAACTATTACTTCTACCTCAAGTAGGAAGCCTTTGATTTCTATGTCATAAGACATCATCAAAGATTTTAGCTTTTTCTTAAGAATAATGTCTCTTTGTAGTGCAGTATTTTTGAACTTCTTCTTAAACAAGATTTAAAGATTTGCATGTGAATTCTTATTATATTCTAAAAATAGATATAAATTTAATTAAATTAAAATAATAATTATTACAATAAAAATATTAATGGGCTTCTAAAGTATGTCACTTGAGCTAGTTGTAATTGTAGTAATAAAAGAAGAAATTACTCTCAAACTAGAGCTATTGGTCAAACTCACAAAAGTAAGATCCTATACATTGTATGATTTTGAGATTTGTTTAACCATGAAGATGTTAAGCATAAGAACTCAAAAAATGAAAATAAAAAATAAGATATATATCAAGAGAGATAAAAATAAAATAAAATAAAATAAAATAAAATAAAATAAGAAAGTATATATATTCAAGAAGAAACTAAAATGACTATTATCAAGGATTAAAAATCAGAGACTTTCAAAACCAGATAAGAAGCAAGAAGAGAGTTGATAAGAATGAAGAAGATCTCACTCTTGCTTCTATAAATACTATTTAACTAGGAGCTATATAGCAACATTCTATTGGACCTCTAACACATGTCTAACTTGCAAAACAAGTTTTTAATATGTATACTACATGGCCAACTTGTTGGCCAAGTTTTCATCTTATCAATTACCTAAAAACACATATAAAGTCAAATTTGCATCTATAATATTTTAAATATTTTTTTCTATTGGATATTATCAAATTTATTTACTTCTACTTAACTCCTATAATGTAGGTAAATATGTATATCTATAATATTAACTTTTCTCCTTTGCTAAAGATAAGTTTCACAAGGAATAATAATTACATGTGTGGTATGCTTGAAATCTTTGATGGAACAAATGAAACAAACATTATGAGTTATATAATCCAAGAGACAAATAAAATGGACTCTTAAGTGAGTCCATAATACAATATGAACTGCATTGACCAAAGGTGTATGGTTAGGCATCTAAAGAGTATATTATAAGGGGTCCAATTCATTATCATACTCCAAAGTCTTGTTTTAAGAACTGGTGAAAACATCTCACCCCAACATCAAAATGGTCAGCACAAACAAAGTTCTCAGTTGTCGAGGTGACATCAGAATGTAATAGTGGGATGTTCTTTTAAGAAGCAGATGAAATGGAAACTATTTTGTTTCTTTTGTCTATTATAATAGTGTTTTGATCCTAACATTTGTTAATGCCTTACAATGACAGAATACAAAAAAAATAAAACAAATAAATAAATAAATATATATCAATAATATTTATTTATTTATTTATATTTTATTAATATTAATTTTAAATTTTAATTAATTAATAACATTTTAAATCAAATATTTATGTTTTAAGATATTTTTTGAACTTTCTATTAATGATCCAATATTTGAAGTTGATAAAGCTAGTACTAAAATATTTTAATTTGTCATGATGAAGCAGCAAAAATTATTTGAATATGATTCGAACTACATTATCATTGTAAATTTAAAGTTGAAATAAATATATAACTAAATAGTCATATTATTAGAATTTCAATTTAATAGGATGCATCATCTTTAATTTAAGTTTATGAAAAATGAATTTTTTAGTTTTAATATGAAATTTCTAAACTATAATAATGATAAATATTTATGGTTCATTGCCTATAAATAAATAAATAAATAAATAAAACAAAACCAAGATTAATCCATTGTATTTCAAAAAGCACAATTGGATCTTGAAATCTGTTGTTGAATTCAAGTATTATTGAATAATAAGTATTCTTAAAGTAGCCATTTCAAAATTTTAAAATTGTTCACATAAATTGCTTAGTTAAGTGTTATCTTATTGCCAAAAAACTTTAAGTTTGTAAAGTAGTTATTCACACATTAACATATCATCCATAACACATCTAAAATTTCAATTTATGTTAGAAAAAATAATCAAATAAATTGTTCACATCTAAACAAGTTATGGCAGTTTGAGATTATACCCAAAAGTATATCTTGACTTCAGCAATAGGAAGTAGGAATCTCAATCAAAATTTAAAAACCAAAATTACTAGTTACTGATTATATGTTCAGGTTCTAAATATAATTCCGACAAATATAAATTTACTTACAGTCTTTTAAAACTATTGTCAAATATAACCTTTTTGGTAGCAAGACTTACTTACACATATTTCTAAAAATATCCAAAATTGCACTATCTAAGAGTCGAACTCTCAAGGTTTTCATTTTATTTTATTTCATTGAATATGTTATAGATTTTTATTGGAGGTAAAGGAACAGGCATGGGAACACGTTCAAACAACCATTTGCGTGGGAACGAGGCATGAAGCGTGGGCAAGTGTGAACGCGCAGAACGATAATGGTTCGAAATAGTTTTCGTATGAGTCGAGTTGGACCTGTCATCTGTGGACGTGGCGTCCACGTCGGTCATCCGACGTGGATCGTTTCGTCCCGCGCGGCAGGCGGATGCTATGAACCAGATGCACCCTGGCGTCAATACCATAGTTTTTGTTTGCTTTGCTTGCGTGCGTGCTTGCTTGCTTGCCTGGATCGCTCTCTACTTCCACGCTGCATAATGATCCAGGTTCTGGCCAACGTCGTCTTGCTTCGTGAATTCTATGTCTACATACTCATCTGCTAGGGAGGACTGTTACGTTGCTTCTAGCTTCCGAGCCTTTCTTTTCTCGGGTTGGACGAGCCTGTGCGAAGGACGCAGAACTCGCCTCCGCCAGATAGGGTTTGGATCGCGTCACCTTCTGTTGCTTGGATTGGACCCCTGGCTTCGTGCGAGGTCAAGATTCTGGTTATGGGAATGGTGTTTGCGTGTTGGTCGGTGTATCTATGTGGATCTGATTCTGAATTGTAAACTTTAGCTTTTTTGCTGCAATGTGGGGTGCAATTGGTGTTCCAGTGAGGTTGGGCTCAGTCAGATTAGGTTGATGATGCATGAAGTTGTTCGTAACTATGCGTGTATGCTTGTTGCTGCGGCGTCTTGGTAGAGGAGAAGGGGCTGAGTTGAGATGTGACTTATGCGAATTTTCTTTTGGCAGAGTCTCCCTGGAAGTAGGGGATGAGGAATATGTTATGAGTTTGGGAAAGAGAGTGGGTCGTCCTTTTGGTATCTTTCGATGGTACTCGTACTGAGGTCGGTTGAGCTTGGAGCCGGTATAATTATTTTCTTCGCCTTACGATGTCGTAACGTACATGCACATCTTATGAGTGATCAGGGGTGGTCAGGTATGAGTCGTCAGATGCTTTAGTGATTCTGGATGCGGTTGTAGTCTAGATTTTGCGCATTATTGAAGGAAGGTGACAAATTAGCCTCGTCTTGATTATTTGTCTCACTTTCCTTGCGCGTGCAATTATGCTCTCTGGAGTGGACAGCTTTAGAGAAAAGTTGTTTATTCCATTGAGTATTTTTTGTTTCCAGCTGAGCGAAATTCATTGCTGAATTGACAGAATCACTTGAGTTTATGTTTATTACTGGTTCATTCACTTGAAAATTTAGGTTTAGGTTTGTCAATTGGTTCCTCCTTACTATCGGCTATTTGCAGGGTTATCTGTGCAAGTCTTTGGAAATATTTATCAATTTCTATCCGCAATGCTCTTGAGTTTTGCTGTAGTTTGTAACGAGACTCTGATGCTTCTCTTAACATATCTGTTTTGGAGCAAAAATTGTGTGTTCAGCCAGTTCAGTGCTAATTGTGCGTTGAACGTGTGTTTATCAGAAAAGCATCGAATAATATAATTATCCGAGATTGGACGTTACCCAGTTTCATCACTGAATGGCTCTTTCATCACCTCCTCTTCCAGTGCCGCCATCAGCACTGAATAAAGGCCCATACCCTAGTCAGGATTCTATGCCTTCTTCACCGACTTCGAATAACTCAACCGTAGCTTCTCCCCAAGCCTCTCCGCGGGTGGAGGCTCAACAATTGTCTACTCAACAGAATGCTTTGCTTTCTGTTGCCTTCAATCAAGACTATGGATGCTTTTCATGTGGCACGCAGACAGGATTTCGTGTCTATAACTGCGATCCCTTCAAGGAAGCATTCTATAAAGATCTAGATGGCGCGGGAATTTCTATTGTCGAAATGCTGTTTAGGTTCGATACTACTCCAGTTTTGAATTGATAGGGTTTATTTTATCTCCGAGTTCTCTTTCTCCGTTTATTCGCTTCGTAGTTTGATGTGAACCTTTTCACATTCTTGGGGTCATTGTGTCTGGTTATTATTTCTATCTATTTCTTACCTGTGAATTTAAAACTGCCGGAGACCTGTCAGGTTACACATTTTAGCTTTGGTTGGTGGAGGCAAATCACCGAGGTACTCCCCCAATAAGGTCATGATTTGGGATCATCATCAGAGCCGGTGTATTGGGGAACTGTCATTTAGAAGTGAAGTTCGAGGTGTTCGCCTTCGAAGGGATAAGATTGTTGTTGTCCTGGAATCTAAAATATACGTGTACAACTTTGCTGATTTGAAGCTGCTTCATCAAATCGAGACTTGGTCCAACACCAAAGGAATTTGTGCACTCTCTCCCGCGCCAAAAACATGTGTTCTTGCATGCCCTGGTCAGCAGAAGGGTGAAGTGCGGGTTGAGCTATACAGTTCAAAGAAAACAAAGTTTATACAGGCACACGATTCCTCATTGGCTTGCCTGTCACTTTCTCTTGATGGATCTCTCTTGGCCACTGCAAGTAACAAGGGCACTCTTGTTCGGATATTCAATACTGCTGATGGCACGAAGTTGCAAGAGGTATATCACATATTTCCACCATCTATAGGACAAAGGTATCAAACAATGGTCTACTATGGGCCATTGAGAATATTTGGAAACTTACAATCATTATTAATTGCCTTCGATTTCAACTGTAAGTGAAAGTAACTAACTCATAATTGTATGTCCATGAACAAATGGGTCATTCACAAATGAAGTTTCTAAAAAGACTGCTTGTTTTGTGGTTGCAGCTTCGACGTGGAGCAGAACATGCAGAAATATATAGTATTGCTTTTCATCCGAATCTTCGTTGGCTTGCCGTTTCTAGTGCCAAAGGCACAGTGCATGTGTTTACAGTCAAACCAACCACTGAAGAAGCTCAAACCGAGGCAATTACGAATGCGTTCTCACCCTCTACAGGATCAGCTTCATCTCCTAGCAAGACTAATGATAGCCCTTCAAAAGGCAGTTCTTCGTCATTGCTGTCTTCCGCGTCCGCAAACGCTGGTTCATCACTTTCTTTCATGAAGGGTTGGCTTTTATTCCTTCGGCTCTGAAGTTTTTGCTGGATACTCGTGTTGAAATATCTTATTTGACATGCTTCGTGTTTTTGGTTTCGTTTAATTTAAGTATAGAGCAGGCTGGTATGTAATGCGCATTCTTTCTTCTATAGGACCCGGACACTGTCGGGATATTGTGGTTCTATTGGTTGTTACATTTTTTTTGAAAACCAAGGATTTTACTGTTTATTGATTATACTTTTTAGCATTAGTGGTTTAAATTGTCTGAACGCATGCATATGCTGTACAACTCATATCTATTCATTTTGACAGTTGTGCTGCCCAAGTACTTTAGTTCAGAGTGGTCCTTTGCACAGTTCCGTGTGCGTGAGGAGACCAAGGCGATAGTAGCTTTTGGAACTCAGAAGAACACGATTGTCATAGTCTGTTCGAATGGAAGGTAATGTTTCTTTTTACATTCATTGAAAATTCTTTTGTGAAATCTCGTAGTTTATTTTAATTTTACAAGTTACATTGTTCAACAACGAGGTTTTATCTTTAGTTTATTTGTTGATGATGATCTGGGACACGGATAAATTGCATTACCAGACACCCTTGGAAGGTTGCTTATGCGTGAATGCTTGAACCTTCTGGTTGAAGAATGTGTGGAGATCAAATTTTGAGAATATTGTCCAACTTGCGTGGATCGTGTGTTCGCTGCAGTTTCTACAGGTGTTCATTTGATGGAAAGAAAGGTGGAGAAATGGTACAACTTGAATACGAACGTTTCATGAAGCCCGAAAGAAGCGATGAGGAAACCGTGCCCACATAGGTTGCTGAGCTGATCTGTACTCTTGTAATTCCTCTCAAGGAAAAAAAGAATCCAATGATTGCCTTGTAGCCACACTTGGGAAGACTCAACTATTTGATCATACTCTGGTGTGTAAAACCCTGCTTCCGCTTTATCCACGACGTCGAAAGCTTCATCATTCATTCTTGATTGAAATCGAGAGCGATGGATAGGTGGCTTTGTTAACAGAACAGGGGTATACTCGCATAAAGAGGCTGGACTTCAAGCTTGTCTTCACCTGTTGCTGTGTTATGTATATAGCACCAAATGAGATTTTATGTTTTGATTGTACAGTGATGGAACGTGGCTTATGGAAATTGTACAGTATCATAGCGGAGTCTCCAATCTGGCCCTCACTGCTCTTGACAAATGATTAGGTTTGCATGTTGATCTAGAATCAACTCAGCTTTCTAAGTTGTGCAGGGTTACATTAGCTTCTAGAACACGTTGAATGGCATGTGCAGATTTGAGTGTGGTTTATATTTAACCTAGAGCTTGAGACCATATTGTTAAATCTATTCTTCTTTCAAATTGGTGCACTTCAATCTTGCGAGGTAGCACTCTGGCGAACTTAAAGACTATTGTGTGCCAATTCATTTCACATCTGTATGACTTCTTTTCATTCCCAATTTACCGCAAGTCTCTACCACAACAAAGTAAGCAATGTGAATACAGAACCTGCTGAAATCCTAGGAACCCTCAGAATGTCACCGCGCTAATTACATTAGCGCAAATCTTTCAACATTCAATAATCAAAATCAATGACGCAGCAGTGAGACCGACGTTATCGTATGAATCACGACAATCATAAGGTCAGACCAAGTTGCCCATGAGGTCTTGCAGGAAATGAAAGTTGAAGTGTAAAATAGAAATCGCATTCGTCGGCTTTGCCTGTTATGTTGTGTCTCCGGCCTTAGTGCTCTTATCCAGTTCATTGAAACGGAAGGCAGCAGGAAAGGGAAGAAACGAAAGAAGCATCGACTTGTGTATCGTTCGCTTAAATCCCCGCGGGGGATCGTCTTCTCTTCCGCGAGTTCTCTCTCGTCATGTTTTAGCTCACAACTCTTCAGCTATTAGGATTTCGTTCCGTTTTCCACAGGTAGGCGTCTTTTCATGCCACAGCACCATTTACCGCCGGATGTGTTCGAGCTTCTATTCGCGCTGCGGCGGAAATTTGAGCTCATCCCAAGAATGGAGGAATGAAAATTTCTTTTAGCTTCCACTGCTCGCCAGGGAATCGATGGAGCTGGAACGATTATGAGCTTCAGAATTCGTAGTAGAGTTTTTGTCGTGTGAGTGTTCGTCTGAAGGAGTATGATTTCGACGCGAAAAGAAAACGCTATTGCGATTGTTGATTTTGTTCAGTGCAGCGGAATTTCCAACGTCCGTGACCAATTCTGGGGTTGCCAAATGACGTTGATGTCTGCGACAGTAAAAAAAAATATTCGCTAGGTTTATTCCTAGGTGTTGGTGCCTTGCTCTCTCCGTGATGCAACACATTCTTTACTCAAACATTGTGACAGGAAACTGCGCAGTTGAATCCGCTATTTGGACCCGACAGAGCATCGCGTAAGTTGCTGCTTCGTGTGATAGCATTAGGTTATACATAATAAATTGAAGGATCACTTCGGTGATGGAATTGAGTGATGGTTTTGCTTTGTAGCGACATACGCCAAGACGACGGCTGTCCAATATTTCGTGCCTGCTGCACAAGCTTCGGCATGACCTGAAGCTCTGTTTTGTATTAAGGAGGACCAGCCATGTCTTCGATGGCAACACTTCTGGTTGCTTCTTCAGCCACTTGCACGATTCTCAGGTACCTTACTTCTTTGCTATTGCTATGAATTTTTCGACTGCAAAGAGACTTGAATTTTGCTGTCTGATTGAATAAAGAGGGAATGCACCGATTGAACCTTATATGTGACTCTTGATTATGAGGTTCAAAAAATAGTAGTATGCCTTCTCAAGAATAGGATTCCTATAAGCTTTAACTTCTGACGTATATCTTTGTTTTTTTGGTTTTGTTTTATTTTTATTTTTATTTTTCTTGTAATCTGATGGTACATTTTGTAACTAATTTGAGGTGGTGGTAAACAGAACCATTTCAAACTTGGGAGCAACATGTAGTCATACATCTTCAGAGAGATGTGGGTGGAGCACACTAGATATCCAGACGACAATATCAGCTGCTAAACCTATCGAGCAAACTGGTTATGATGCTGAAAGCTCTAGGTTCAGCCATAAAACTGCAAGTAAAGGTAGTCAGTAATTACGGCTGTTAAGCTCCTCATTGTGTAGTTTATGGAGTCTTTCTTTTATGAAGTCTTGAATTTTCTGCTTTCAAGATTTGAACGGATGATTGAAGCATTATTTTCAGTTCCGATCAGGAGAGGGAGAGGCTGGGGTAACACGCCGCAAAGTAGGAGTGATCGAGCACCACCTGTTTTGAGTCCTGGCGCTGCTGCCTTAACGCGGAGTATTTTGACACAAAAAAGTCCTCAGGATGTATGGGATGCGCTTGATGCTCTTCCTCGTTGTGTCGGTTCATGGGAAGATCTCATGGAGACAGTTGCCGAGTTCAGACGGCAGCGAAAGTGGCGAAGTGCTATAGTGGTATGGGCTCTGTATACAATCTTTAAACTTGACTTTAAAAGTTAATTTTGTTCTTAGTCAACGACGCATTTAAGACGTAGGCGGTGTGAGTGCACGCTTTGAGTGTTTCACAGCCTATATTGTAGTGTCCTCCTTTCATGGATAAACCTAGTTACTTGGGATCACTACATGAATAGGACATTAAACTTATTCCTGTGATGTTTCACTTGAGCTTTTTTCTTGTCTAACTGTTCTGACTATTCAAGTTAATGTTGTGAGAGTATCATTTGATTTCACCCAATAGTTCTTGTTCCTTTATTAGTATGTCATCTCATTCGGAATGTACAAGGACTTTCTCTTCATGCGGCTTTGCAAGAGATTATCTTGTTGACGTTGTTCTATGACTTGCTTTTCGCTTTCTTAGTTAAAATTTTTAGTATATGTGTGCAGATTTATGAATGGATCCTACAGGGATCAATGTTCAAGCCAGACGTGGGCTGCTTTAACATGCTAATGGACGCTTACGGGAGGACCAAGCAGTGGACAGAAGCGGAGAATACTTTTCATCTCATGAAAAAGTTTCAATGTTTGCCTACAGAAACCTCCTTCAATGTCCTCATGGCTGCCTATTCTCGTGGGGGTCAGCTTGAGCGAGCTGAGAGGGTGTTGCATGAAATGAAGGAGTCAAACTGTTCTCCTGGTATAGACCATGCTGATTTCTTCCAAAAAACCGCTTTTCTCCCGTCTTTCATTTGGTTTTTGTACCCTACACTTGATTTTGACGTGTTTCGTAACACAGATAATACAGTTTGAGTATAATAAATGTTTTTAAGATGTATTCCTGCAATTTTATAGATATAATGGGCGATGTTGCCAGGCTTAGTGACGTACAACACTTATCTGGAGGTTTTGAACAAGTCTGGAAGCTGGCAGCTAGCAGAGGATGTCTTTAGGGAGATGCAAAATAGAGGGGTTCCTCCAGCAGTCAACACGTTCACTCTCATGATAAACATATATGGTAAAGTAAGTCACTTTCCATTTCAAATTTGAAACTACTCATAATCAGTTTAAAGTTACACACTTGTCTCCAGGATTTTGTATTTTTTTGAATGCTGCAAGTAGAGAGTAGTCAATGTCTTGATGTGTTTATCATGGTTATCATAGTTGGCGTGGTGGACAGAAATTTAGCTTGCACTGTTGAAACCATGAACGTCCTAATAATTTCTTTTTCATTTAATCAGGCTCACCATTCAGCTAAAGCTGAACATCTTTTTCAAAGTATGCGCAAGGCATTGTGTCCTCCCAGTCTCTTTACCTACACTGCACTGATAAATGCGCATGCAAGGGAGGGAAACTGTGTGAGGGCTGAAGAGATATTTGCGGAGCTACAATCAGTTGGTTTTGTTCCTGACATCTACACTTACAACGCTTTGTTGGAAGCATACAGGTTTGTTGATGTATCTCCAATGATCACTTTATCTCTTGCAGTTACAAATGTAGAACACAAACAGTAGGTCGTACTTTAAATACGTGCGTGGTGGCTTCTTTTTCTTGTGTTTCTTGCACGTTCTGGTCTAAACACGGTTTATTTCATCGGCTGATAGGCGTGGTCCACGTAATTAAATATTTGCAGACATGTAAAGGGAAAAGATATGTACATTGAATGAACTACTACCCAAATATTAAATAAATGACGCTAAATGTATTTGAAGTCGACAAACTCAACACAATATTAATTCAACTCCAACGAAATGTCTTGCTTTCGAAAGTATGCTTCGGTTGAAGACAGACTTACTTCAGCATAATGAATGAGATGTGCGATGTGCAATTGCAGTCGGGGAGGACATCCTGCTGGTGCGAAGGAAGTGTTTGAGACAATGTTGGAAGCAGGCGTGAAAGCTGATCATGTCTCTTACAATATACTCATCGACGCATTTGGTCGTGCAGGGTTGATTTCTGGTAAAATTCAAATCTTATTATTTATCTGATCACTGATGAGCTTCCAAATCTATAGCCATTCAACCTTCCATAAGAAGCATGCATAGCCTGCCTAATCTTTTCATTTATCACCTGGTCTCTGAAGCTTTGTGCCAATTGTAGATACATAAAATATCATGTACCAAGATCAAATAGTTTTACATGAGTAATAACATTAGAGAGAATCTGCGGCTTGGAGAGTTTCTGCGTCTGTAGCCTACTTTGCATGTAAACGGTGGACTGGGCTGTGTCGAGCATGTTCACAGTGAGCCTGTGGGATGGCAGATGCACAAGCTATCTACGATTCCATGAAGAAAGTAGGATTTAAACCCACTATGAAGTCGCACATACTTCTACTAAGCGCTTTTGTTAAAGCAGGAAGAGTCACTGATGCTGAGAATTTTGTACGAAGATTAGAGAGTATGGGAGTGGAGCCCGATACTTTTATGTTCAATTCCCTTTTAGGCGCGTATGGGAATTCAGGGAGGTAAATAAGCACAACTAGCACTTCTTTCAAAACATATCGATGTCTATAATGCAACCAGTTAAGCGTTGGAAGTTTGGACTCGCTTTGTCCAGGTTTAGCCTGCTGGAAATCGTGAAAACATTTAAGTAGTTCAGGCTCTTAGAATGGAGTGAAGGGGCCCGACATTACCATCATGGTTCCTTAATGACTGATGTCCTTGTATTTCATGGTGATGTTTGGCAGAATGGATAAAATGGAAAGCTTGTACGAATCTATGCAAGGTAGTGTATGCAAGCCTGACATCATCACACTGAACACCCTCATAAACGTCTATGCTCAAGGTGGCTACATTGAAAGAGCTGAGGAAATCTTCAATTCGCTGGAGTCAAAAGGCTTTACTCCCGATGTAATGTCATGGACCTCACTCATGGGTGCCTACTCAAAACGGAAGTTGTACAGGAAATGTGTTTCAGTATACCAAAAGATGCTCATTGCCGGTTGTATCCCGGATAGAGCTACTGCTAAAGTTTTGCTTTCTTCTTGTCGTGGTCCGGAGCAGGTAAAGGAGGTCACAGACATGATTGAGACACAAAGATAACTCATAGGCTGGTCATATTGCGTCTAGGAGTGATGTAGGCTAAACATCCTCTGTAGTTTGAAAGACTCAGGAAGCGGTTGACGAAGATGTGCACAAAATCTCCCAAAGGATTATCTGTGTCTTGAAGCAAATTCTCCAAGACCACGCACTCCATGTTCGCATAACTGAATGCCAGGTCTCTCAATCGCACGATCTCAACTTTGTTTCTCACTCCTCACTTTGCTTCTCAACAACTATTAGGAGCAGTTGTTACGATGGGAATGAAATGAAACCATCTTAACGAAAAGTATCTTCCATCATTCTAATTTGTGTTGACGAAAGTTTTGGGAGTTAATGCGCGTGCTAACGTCGTTGAGTCCAACTGATGCATCGTGTTCGTGGTGACAGACAACACCTCGCCGCATTAACCCCTAAAATCCGATCCGTCGCCGTCTGGTGATCACCTTGAACGAGACTATCGCACTGCCCGTGTCAGATCCATCTACGAAAACCGTCAGGCTTAGATCTTTACTCACATGCCATACATCTCCACTCCCGTTGTCCGCAGATCCTCGTCGCAACTTCTTCGTCTGGACCTTATGATCCTGCTGTGGTCGGGATAGCGACCGGGATCGCTTCGGGCACTGCTGTTGGTTCCGCGAATTCGGATTCCTCGACAGCCAGGGCTTTTGCAGAGCGTGCTGCTCTTGTTTTCACCGCTTGCGCCAAGAAAGTATGCATGGATACTTCCTGTTTGCAAGACCCAAAGTCTATTATTCAATTATAATAAATTACATCAAATATACTAATTTCTATATTAAAGATATTTGCTCAAGCAAGTAAAGCATGATGATGCAAGTCAATATATTAAACAAAGTGTTGATGAAGTATGGTACCAATGGTAGCAATGAAGTACCATACTTGTGAGACATGTGTCTAATTTGCAAGGCAAGTTTTCTACATGTGTATGAAATAACCAACTTATATCATAAGTGGCCAACATGTGCAATATGTGACCAACTTATAAAATAAATGATCAATATATGCGACTCAATGGCCAACTTATTGGTCAAGTTTTTAACCTATTAATCACCTACAAATACTTATAAAGTCAAATCCTTATTTACAAAGCTTCTAGCAAGCTTTACTACAAGATATTATCAAATTTGCTTACTTTTACTTCTACAGAACTCCTCTTATTTTTCTAATTATTAATGCCAATGTTGATGTTTATGAAAATAATGTAAAACTTATTGTTTGAATGATTTAATTAATATATAATTGCATATTATGTAACATAATATAATGGTCTAATTTTATATTAAATTAAGAAGTACTTTATACCTATTTGCCTACTTTGAAAGGTTATAATTCACAATATTTATAAAGGTCTATTGCTTGGTGAAAAAATCCTTCTTTTAGAAGTCTTGTCCTTTGGATATAATTTAAAGTAAGAAGATGTCATGAAATAGACCAAATCAATCTTTTATTACAAGTTTAAATATATCAATTTATATCTTGATTGAAATAGTTATAAAAAATATAATATTTTTTTAAATGGTCATTTTAAGCATTTATTGACACAAATTCTTGATTTTTTTTAAAAACCATATTTTTAAGATAGAGCCAATAGGAATTCTAAAAGACAACACTATTTGTGTCATGGAAGAAAAAGAATGCATTCCATCATATTGTTTCTTTTATAGGCCTTTAGATTGGATTTTCTAATTATAAAGACAACTTAAAGAGACTTTTTGATTTTAACCAATCAAAACATTTAAAAGCTAAAACCTCTCACCTTATTCCCTAAGTGCATTTTCAATCCTTGTTTCAATATTGGACTCTATGAACTTGAGGCATGGACAATCCATTTATTCATTTTCCGACATTGTATAGAAACATGACTATATGGTGAAAGAAAAAAGAAAAGATTATATTATAGACAAGCTTAAATAAAAATATTTTAGCAAATTATTTTAGAAATATAGATGATAGATAAGAAGGTAGTAAAAATTAATAAGTTTTAATATTGTCTTCTTAAAGAAGAGACTTCTACTTACTTTCTAAGAACATATGTGAATCAAATCAAAATAAATGAGATAAATAATCGATATAGGTATTTTTAAGAACGAATTAAGAATAGGTTTAAGCAAAAATCACCTCAAAATATGAAGAATTGATACCCAAAAAGGTTCACAATCAATGTCGAAATCATATCCTAAGACACAAAATTGCATACTTATAGTAATTCTAAGGATCTTTGGTTGATCAAAGAGCAAAGTTTGGAAAAAGACTTGTGAGAGGATTTTTGAGAGTTTATTTCATGTGATTTGAAGGTGTATTGAGGTTTTGAGGGCTTTTCAAAATGAAAGATGTATTCAATGGATTTAGATTTTGAGAAATAAAATAAGTTTATAAATTTGATGATTTTTTGAATGTTATAGTACATTTACAAGTAAAAATTTGTTAATTTGTCATTATGCTTGTTTTAAATGTATATGAAAAATTGGATATCAATTGAATAGTTAAATTGAATGTTGTGAGAGTTTTTATGGATTATAGTCTCAAATAATTGAAATTTAGGGTCAGTGAAGGTTTTTGTCATCTTGGGAAATTTGTCAATTTGATTAAAGCAAAAATTTGTAAGAATCATTTAGACTTAGAAATCTACACACTAATCAAATTTTTGAGCAAGTGAATAGTTCAGCAAAGAAAAATTTATGTTGGAAGATCAATATTCAAGTTAGAGAAGGAGGGTGGCCAACATCCAAGGAGTTTTGGGAATTTTTCTTTCAATTAGTGAGTTCAATTCATCTCAAATTTTATATGCTTGTTAATTGCATGTGGATTGAAATTTGAGTGATATTTGAGTCAAGATCAATAGTTCAATTAATATTTATTGAGGTTTTAAAACACCTATAGTAATTGATTAATATTTATTTAGGATTTTCTTGGAATTGTTTAGGATTTCATTAAGATTTGGTCTAGGATTTGATTAGAGTTTTATTAAGGTTTAGATAGGATTTTATTAAGATTTCAATAGAGTTTGATCTAAGATTTAGGATTTGGTTAGGATTTTGTTAAGATTGTTAAAGTTTCATTAAGATTTGTTTAACACTACATTAAGATTTAATTAGGATTTATCTTAGATTTATTTAGGATTTATTTAAGGTTTCTATTTTACTATTTTTTAGGATCCTTTATTATTTCTTTAAATATTTTTATTTTTAGTATTTTAAAAGGTTATTGTTATTTCATTAAGGTTTTTATTTTTGTATTTCTTTAGAGTTTCTTTATTATTTTTCTTTGAGATTAATTTATATCTTCTTTATGTTTCTTTTGTAATTGTTTTAAAAATTCTTTTGGATTAGTTAAAGTTTGTTTAAGGTTGTTGACGATTATTTAGAATTTATTTAAGATTCTATTAGACTTGATAGGATCTTGTTGTTGTATTTTCTATTTACCTTCCATAGTTAGGTGTCCGATGCATTCTCAAGCAAGAATTCATGTTATACGACACTGGTAAATACACTATATCAAAAAATAAAAAACATAACTAAACAAAACAAAACAAAAAAACAATTAAGTGTTTATTTTAACATTCTAGTTCTACAATTTGCAACTCAAGGTTGGGAGTTTATGGTTGATATCTGACAAAATTAAACTAGTTTTCTCAGCTCACATCTTTTTGCATTCCCAGCTTCAGTGAAGATCTCTTTCCTCACATTTCTTCTTCAGCCCTCACAGTTCTAATACATTGTTTTGACCACATTAGCTGGAACAATGGAACACAATGAATCTACAAGGAAAAACAGTAGAGGCAAAGTTTTAGAATCCTTTTTATTAATGGAACCCAGAGTTGACTTGGGAAGAAGAACCTTCATTCCATGATTGGGTGCTGACCTAAATGAAGGGAACTTTCTATGGTTGGCCTTCTTCTGGTCTAGGCAACATGTATCAAAATATCTACTATTTAAGACAATGCAGAAAATTGCAATAAAGTTTTGGTTAATTTCCCTAGTTTCTCTCCTTTAACTCATTGCATGTGTTCGTATGTAGCAAGTTGTGCTGTTATATCCCTTGTGTTCTCCCTCCTTGTTTTCTAAATTTCACATTTGTTGTGTTGTAGAAAACTTCATGTTACAACTTGTAAACAATAGTTCTTTCTTCTTATGGAGGTTTAATCTCAGAGATAGGGGGATGCTATTTGGAATAACAGAAACATTGTGCAGCTGACCCATTGAAAGTTGAAATGAAGAATATTTTGAAAAGGTTCCAAGGCAGATGAAACATTTTCAAAAAAAACAAATATATATTAAAAAAATGATATTTTATTTTTTTAAATAATTTTATAAATTCCTATTATTTTCATTTGTTGTAAAGCTTATGCACATCAACACCATATTGACCTAATTGTTTTAACTATTTAACAGTATTTGAATGATTTGATTTTTATTTTTAGAATCTGATATTTATCAAGAAAAGAAGAAGATACTAGTAAATAATTCTACACAAATCAATTTTTAATTACATATATATTACATCCAAATGCTCATATTTGGTTATTACAAAACTCCCTAATATTCACATTTTTTTTAAATACTAAATTTGAAGTAGTGCTAAGTATGATTATTGTTCAAGTTTGGATCTCATTTAACACTATAAATAGTCAACAAGTATGTTATTCAATCGTCGTCTCTCAGCTAATCAGCTCTTGGATCCACTTCTTCGAGGTTTTAGGATCGACTCCCGTCGCGTGCGAGGAGCCCCTCGCAAGGCAATTGATTCGACAATCACCGCCTGCTACGCCGCTCAAGGACGACAGAAAATCGAGAGCTCGCGGAGCCCGATCGAACATACCAATCTGGTCCACTTTGACTTCGCCAGCCCTTCAAGACGAGCATCGATGAGCTCAACATGAGGTCAACAGAGATAACCCGATCGGTGGGCACGTGTGGGATCGGCTCATGCAGAAAGACAGACGAAACAAAAAAACTAATAAAGAAACCCAATCCCCTAGTCTGATCCGATGCAGCGCACGCCGCGCTTGTTGCGATCGAGATGCAGCGGATGCACGAGTGCATGCATGAGTTTTAATGGTGGTTGGGAGATTCGGCGAGAGCTCTCAACCACGGGTGTGGCATGGGAGGAGGCGCCGTGGCCCACCGACGACTGCTCTCGCCAATCTGCAGCCTTGACAGCATCCTCCGGCGCATCGGTCCCTCTGAATGCGAGATATGTCCCATTGGCGAGCTCCGAAGACAAAGCGGATTGTGTCTTATCGCTGCGGTGCCCACTTTCGCACGGGAGCTCGTCTTATAAGCCGACGGAATCGCTCGCTTCTGTCTATGACTTTCGTTTGGTTGACTTTCTCGTTTGTCTTACGGTTTTGTTCGGGTTCGCCAGTGTCTGCTGTGCATTGGTTTGTGGATTGTATGGTGGTCAGTAGTGGGAGCGAGCGTCCATGTCTTTCTGATATTGATCGTGTAGTGTGGTGGTGAGCTGCTGCACTATCCAGGTGGCCGTTCTGAAGTCACACAGGTATCGATCAGCGTAGAATCATGTTCGATTTCATCGGCCGTCGCGTTGCGGTAGAATTTAGCCCTCTGAGTTGTAGACGGCATTGTTGCCGTCACGGGAATCGACCGCCTTGTTAAAACAGCACGCAGAGTAGACTATCGAAACTTAGCGGCAAGCACAGTGGAAACATATGATCTGCTGGAGAGAACTTCGTGAAGCTTTCTTCGTTCTTGAGATGTCATTTGCCTTGCAGAAGGACTTGCAGGGTCATCTCCGATGAATGTTCAACTACGAGAAGATGGACTTGAAATTTTTCGACAATAATTCTGCTTCTAAAAGTTTGTAGATTAGCTTTTCGCAGAATCTTAGAACAGTTTCAACTCTAGATGCTGTAGGGGTGATGAAAGAGAATTGATAGGGACGCAATGTACATTGAGCTAGAAAGAAACGAAAGTCATCTCACATGATAGTAAGATTAGGCATCGCGGTCACAGCCTCAGTAGCGGCCGTAACATTTGGAAGGCAGCGCAAGAAGCTTGAGGAAGAGGTCGGCAAACAAGGTTTGTAAATCCTCGTTGAATTGGACATAAATCTCCTCTTTTCAGTACTCAATGCTTCATTTCGAGAGCTACTCGCACAAGTTGCAGTTTTCAATTTGTGTCTAGACGAATAGATCACAAAAAAAAAAACGCATTGTGCTGAAGTCAAGGAAGCTTTCTATCACATTTTGCTCAGGCTGTGATCGGAGGCGTGAATAGGAAGGTGGTCACTTGCTTCTTTTCAAACAAGCTTGTGAGAGGTCCTCAACGCATTGGTTGGTTTGTGTAGAATATGGAGGCAATTCAAGGGAGGAAGAAAATGAGGATTTCGACGTGGAAATTTATGATACTCGGCAGAAAACGCCGGTACGACAGTCATTGTACTTCACCTCAACAGCCGTTGCTACGTTTCCGCTGAGTTCATTTTGCTGTCACATAATTCGATGGTTTGATCTGTTCAGAAATTTGTAAGCCGTTAGAAGAGTTTGGTTTGTATCATGAATTTAGGTGTCAGAAGAATATGACGGAGGTGAAGATTTGAATGGGGCGTGATTGTGAATGTTTCTAGCAGGTGGAAGAGGTGAAACGAGTAAATTCAAGTTCACCAGCCAGAATCCGTGGAGGCAGTGAGTACGGTGAGAAAGACCTGCTGCTGCCTGAATTTGATGATCTCTTGCATTCAGCAAGGCTAGGAGATCTGAGTCCGAGCGGGAATGACTCCTATGGCGCCGACGTTGGAATCACCGACGCAGATTTAGAAACGTTCAAAACTGTCTCACATGGGAATGGGAAAGAAGAGGTGCGTGTTGAGGCTGTCAGGAATAAGGGAGGAAGTAGAGCGGGAAGCAGGAGATCTCCTAGCCCCGGAAGAAGTTCTAACTATGGCGAAGCATGCAGCAATGATGGAGATGAGCAGAACATGTCGTGTGCAGCATCGGAGACCTCAGAATTGTTTCCATGCGGCTCGGATTATATACTCAGCGAGTATGTTGACAGCCTCGCAAATGACGCTGCTGAGCTTCATGCATTGAGAGAGACCGTGAAGGTGCTCAAGCAGAAGGAGTCAAGAATGGAGATGGAGCTCATGGAGTATTACGCACTCGAAGATCAGGAATATGAGCGTCAGAAATTAGAGGGAGAGGTTGTATTGAAGACCGCTCAAATTGCAAAATTAGAGAGGAGTCTGGAAGAAAATAACCTAGAATTGGACAGACAGAAAATGCAATTGAAAAGCATGGAAGAAGAAAAGCATACCCAAATCGTCAATTTAGTGGCGCAAATCGGAGATATGGACGTTAGGTCGGTAGCTTTGGCCGACGTAAAGGATAACCAAATCGCTAGGTTGAAGGAACGAATTGGGGCCCTGGAAGAGAGGTCGATGCAGGTGGCTGATGAAGCTGCAAGCGTAACCATCCTGACAAAGGATCTCGAGGAGGCACAGGCACGGATTAGAGAGCTTCAGATAGAGATGGAAACCAAATTTGCACACGACGAAAGAGAATCCCTGATGTTGAAGCAAATGCTGGCTTCATTGGAAGCAGAAAATGAAGACCTTCGTAAACGGGACTTCGAAACAGAAAAGAAACTGCAATCTCTGAGGGAAATGGAGGTCGAAGTCCTTGAGTTGAGGCGCACGAACAAGGACTTGCAGTTTCAGAAACGGGAGCTTACCGTTCAACTGGATGCTGCAGACATGGACATTGAGTACCTGCAGAACAGAACAGATGAGTATAGATTAGCTGAGGCAGACGCGGATAATGCGTCCCTTCGACATACAAATGAGGATTTAGCACGGCAGGTTGAAGGTTTACAAAATGATCGGTTCACTGATGTAGAGGAGCTGGTGTATCTTCGGTGGGTCAATGCGTGTCTTCGATTCGAGCTTCGCAGCCATCTGGCACCTGATGGTCGATTCAGCGCCATAAATTTGAATAAAAACTTGAGCCCGCGCTCACAGGAGAGGGCCAAATATCTGATGCTTCAGTACGCTTCCCCCGATGTATCTGCCAGAATGGACAGTGACTACGAAAGCACCGAGTCGTCCGAGAATTCGAACTTCATTGAGGAGTACAGTGACATTACATCAGAAGTGGGGTCGGTATCTGGCCGCTTTTCCAAGAAAAGCAGCCTGATCAAGCGACTGAAGAATTGGAGGGGAAAAAAAGACGAGGGAGCTGATCATTTAGCCGAGAGAAGTCTGAGCTCCAGAAGCGACCTCAGCAGCAAATTCACTCGTCGTGGCAGAAAGTCATTACCGGGACCTCTAGAAGCTTTGATCATTCGGGACGCGAGCGGCGTGGTTCCAATCGCCGAATACGGGACCGGCAATGACGAAAAAGAACAGTCTCAAGGGACGGGTTCTCCGACGAGCACTCTCGCTAATCTGTCCCCACCAAGTAGGCGGTCCTCAGTTGGAGGGTCCGCCAGGTTCCACCCTGATTCTCCCAGTTTAAGCTCAAACACGATTCCTATCAGAACATCCGCACCATCAATTGCTGCCTCTTTCCAGTTGATTGCAAAATCTGTGTCACCAGAAATTTCTGAAAAGTATCCTGCCTTCAAGGATCGACACAAGGCAGCCGTGGAGAGAGAGCAAGCCATCAAGGAGAAGGCGCAGGCAGCAAGAGAGAAGGCGCAAGCCGAGAAAGAAAGCTTGGCTCAGGTCTCCAAGTCCGATACGAGGATGAAATGGTTAGAACAGAATCATCAATGCGTAGGCCATCAACAGCAGTTCCTTGACGCAATGCCGCCACTGAAACGTGCCGAAAGCATCTCGAAACCTCTAACGCCAGTTGAGATTGCCAAGCGGGAAGTGAGAAAGGCAAACCCTCCTCCCAAACTCAATCCCCCACACCCAAGTCAAGCTGTTCCTTCACCAGGAGGAGCTCCAGGTGGATTTGTAATCCCACCGCCGCCACCTCGCGGGCCTGGCGCACTTCTTCCTCCTCCTCCTCCTCCGTCACTCAAGGGATCACTATCGAGAACGCAAGGCAATCATTCTGACGATGTGCACAGAGCTCCGGAGGTGGTCGAGTTCTACCATTCCCTCATGAAACGTGATTCTAAAAGCGCTGTATCCAATTCAGGTGGAGGAACTGATCCGACAGCACGTAATAACATGATTGGAGAGATTGAGAATCGGTCTGCACATTTACTAGCGGTAAGCGTCTTGAACCCAACTTCTCTACCTTCGTGACTGTTGTGCAAGTATACTTAAAGCTGTGCACCTATATTGATTGATGAGCTCAACATGATTGTCGGAGCCAATCTTCTGTTATGGTCGTGCTTGACACTATCGAATTGAGACGTACGGAGTGATATTGAATGTAGATCAAGGCTGATGTGGAGACACAAGGGGATTTTGTCATGTCACTAGCGGTTGAAGTGAGAGCTGCTGAATTCACCGACATTGAAGATGTTGTCAATTTTGTGCGTTGGCTGGATGATGAGCTCTCTTATTTGGTACGTACACTTCAACCGAGTACCCAAAAATCGTTGCACAGCCTGTTCATGTCATGACCTGTAAGTTTCCATCTTTACTAGCAGTGTAGTCATTCGAAAGGGAGATTCATAGATGCCTTCGTTTCGGCAGGTCGACGAAAGAGCAGTGTTGAAACACTTCGATTGGCCAGAAGGGAAGGCCGACGCTATGCGTGAAGCTTCTTTTGAGTTTCAGGATCTGACGAAGCTACTGGCTGAAGTTTCTCATTTTGAAGATAGGCCCGAAATTCCATGCGATAAGGCCCTACAGAAACTTCTGGCTACACTGGAGAAGTAAGTGTCTTCTGATTGTTGAATCTTAGGTCTCGTCCAGAGTTTGTTGGGTCCTGGCAGCATATTGGATCGTCTCGATTGCTCTTTGATAGTTTGAAACAAGCTTTGCATCTAGGCTACAGAATTATCGCAGTTTGATTAGATTTTCGGTCCCCATCTTCACAAACTGTGCTCCGACTAACAGTGAAGGAGGATGGCAACTGCAGAGTTGAGGAGAGTGTGTATGGTCTGTTGCGAACAAGGGACATGGCAATCGCCCGTTACAGAGAATTTGGCATCCCCATTCAATGGATGCTTGATTCTGGCATTGTTGGCAAGGTACAATTATTAACTTTCATTCCCATAGTTTCGCTAGGTTAAATTCCTAGTGATCGTTACGGATTACTAACGATACATCCAGTGCTTCAGGTCGATGTTGTCTTTCCCACATTTACTTATGAGTGCCATCAGAATTGATCGCCCATATCAGAGAAGTAGGGTGAAACTAATGACCTTGGAGTGACATTGCAGATCAAGCTCGCTTCCGTCACTCTTGCCCGTCTTTATGTGAAACGGGTTGCATCACAACTTAACCAAACTCTCCCCATCAAGGAGACTGTGCGTGAGTTTTTGTTGCTGCAGGGTGTTCGGTTTGCATTTCGTGTTCATCAGGTAATTTTTTGCCCTAAATTGATGGTTATAGTGTCGAATTCTGAATTAAAATCAAAGTATCCAATTCGTCGAAGAGAAGGTGCAAGTGTCCAACGCTGTGACCTATGTGCAACTTCGCTACTTATTTGACATGGTCATTATCACATTTCTGCACAGGCTCACAGCAAGGAAGTTGACAGTATATTATTTTAACAACACACTTTTGTGGACTGTCACAGTTTGCAGGAGGGTTCGATCCTGAAAGTATGCATGCATTCATGGCATTGCGGGCGTCCTCCGACGGACCGATTGTTTCACCACCCCCAGGAATATAGTTTGATATAAAGGAGAAGGAGAAGTGTACAATTCTCTGATCAGAAATATGTGGCAGAGGAGTTAAGAAAACATCAGGTTAACTAGAAGTTGGTGTGACTAAGTACCACAACTACTGCTGGTTACATGATATTTAGTCAATTTGTAAGCTAAATTTCATTTCCATCGATGCATTTGTAGCAAGACGATTGTGCGAGTGTTCACTGCACTGTTCATCGTAGAGATGACACAATTGACTGAGAATTGTTGCTACATATCTTCTGGATCAATAAATTGCTCAATCTGCTACCACCTGATGATCTGCAGCGTGTTTGAGGAAAATGATTAATTATGTTCAGTTCGTCCTATAAGCTGGATTTATTCTCTTCGATCATTTTGTATGAGTTTATCTTTTTTCGGATGTGTTTCAACTTCTATTAGAAAATGTGAGTTTCATGTCCAGATAGTGATACTGTTATTGAAGAATTTAATTCACTGAAGTACTAAAAATATCATTTTGCACAGCAATATGTCAATCACAAAATAGCTTAAGTAGCAAGTGTACCGAGATACCAGAATGTTAACACCTCCAATATTTCCGGCAAACAATTTCACGGGATATTAACATTCCAAATTGACATTGCTCACTTTTTCCCGAACAATCAATATTTTCTTCATCTGATGCATACACAAAAATTCCTGACATGTGTGACAAAAGTCGTGAGAAGATGTCATCACCGTAAATGGCGCCAATATGCAACAGCCTTCACGGCATGCACTTGGCTTCCTATCGAGAAGTGAAAAGAAATCTACGCCCAACCCTGGTCGAATTATGGGTCATAGTTCAAACTACCCATTTCGTGGCAGGTTGGCGACAATCAATTGACTTAAAGGGAAGACCTCAGTCAGCCAGTTCTCAGCATTCAGATTTGAGTAAAACCTTCAGCCGGTAATTCCAAATAAAGATCCTCACTGGTCTTCCAGACTGACTCCAATCTACTCCACTCACATTCTGGACAGGCATCAGTTCTCCAAGGTGTTTTGCATCACAGAGATCAGGCGCAAATTACCCATGCAAATTTGTTTCATCACATGCCTTAAGTAATTCATATACACTCTACGCTAAAAAGAGCACTCAGAATGAGTAGAAGGTTTGGTTTCAATCAGCGAGCAAGCTCTCAACCAAATTCATTTCCTCATAGTGCGTACCAACGAAAATTCCACAATTTAAAACCGCGCTGTATCTTCGTTAGCACACCGAATAGATAGAGAAGAAACGACAGAAGATCTCAGCTAAAGGCTTCTACCACATGAAATAATAAGGAAGGGGCACGCTGAAACCCTAACCCTACAAAAAAAAACGGACTATGGATAGACATCAGTTCTCCAAGGTGTTTTGCATCACAGAATTCAGGCGCAAATTACCCATGCAAACGTGTTTCATCAACTGTCTTGATTATTCTGGACACACGCAGTAACGAAAGTGGCATTCAGAACGAGTAGGAGGTTTGGATCCATCAATGAGCAGGCTCTCAACCAAAAGTAGATATCCTCACAGTGTACACTACACACATCAAAACAAAAGCCCACAATATCTAGTCACACAACTGAACCCTAACTAATAACTACACAGAGAGAGGGAGGAGGAATCTCACAGATGAAGTTCGATTTCAGAGTGAAGGTGAGACCGACTTTATAAGTATACATGGTGAACAAAAGTTTAGGGTTTCCAATTAGGGTTTCAATGTGTCATTGACGATGGCGGCGCAGATCCTGCTCTGACCCAAGTGACTGAAACAGATTTTGTCAATATTTCTGACTGAATCTCGCATGCATTCGGAGGGATTACATTATGACCCTCTAACTTCATGCATCACAGTTAGCAGTGTAACAACGAGTTTAATATCAATTTCAGTTTCAGGATCACGCAAAAATATAAGGATATTACAACTTTTACCACCCAACTGTGCATGATTTCCATTGCAAAACACGGTGTGTTGCGGAGACAGGAGACGGTCTCAAGCTATGTTACAACTAGCGCGATCCTGCACAATTGCTCTTCCCTCTGTTCCATTCATCTCACATTGCTGGTATTTTAGTACATAAATTCTAGAGCAATCCAATGGATTTGTAAATATTTTTGAGGCATTCATAGAAGAATGGGCTTTTATTGGATGTAGTCTATTAGCTTGCAACAACAATAATAATACAATTTGTCAATGTTATGCTCATAACTTACTAATGTCACACAAAACTTTCTTAACATAAAGTTGTTTGTTTAATCCATCAATCGCCATAATCCCAGTTTCACATGTTTATGCATATGATAGATAAATAAGACTTGAGAAAAAGTACATAAACTCATCGGTTTTAAATTTGCAAGCATCAATTGTAGTAACTATAACGTTGGGCTTAATTTTTAATAATTTGAAGAATTATAAATATATCAAGAGCTATTTTTAAGTTTTATCTAATGTGTACATCAGTAAAAATTTACTAAAATAAAATACACCTAGTATTAAACAAAGATTGATAGAATGTTTTGTAACAAAAGCCCACTACAAGGTCATGTTTCGTCAATAGGCATTATTCAACATACTTTACAAAGCTAATGTGGAGATACAAAGTTTGTGGTTTATGTGAGTTTGTGTATATATACAAATACATATTATTCACTCTATGAATGCAATGGCTAATCTTTCAACACTACTCACTCCGCTTTCAGTATTTCAACACTGGATCAATAGCGAATTAATTTGGTGACGGAGGGTTCCAGCTTGTGAAGGGGAACCTGCAGCAAGAAAGAGAACAAGCAAGCACGACGCCATCGAAATAAGCAAAAGCAAAGACTGACGTATATTTTTAGTTCAACAAAGTACACCCTTGAGTAAAATCCGAAATTGGAACCGTTCATTCCTCGAGCTTAAGCTGACAAAAATATACATCGCGCAAACTACAACCGCCTGGTCTCAGCAGTAACTTCAAAATTTACATGAGGGCAGGGTCCTAAAAATCGAGTGATGAGCACAGCAGTAGCAGCGAAGCTTTTAGAAAATTAACTGCTGAAGCGTGGCTTTGGAGTGGGATCAAACGTCATTCAACATCTTTCGCTAATGTATTCTCTTAAAAGGATCAATTTTGAGAGAGCCTACCCACAAAGAAAAGGAGGAATGATCACTTGTTAATGTCGTGGTTGCTTGAAGCCTGTGTTCAATTTGTCATGTACTTCAGCTTCCAGGTTACTGAAGGCAATAACAGCTTGGAAGAGCTGTGGCAAACCAGCTTGCAGACTGTTAAGAGTGTAAGCTCGAGTATCCATATGCGCTTTCCTTTCAGATTCAAGCTCATCTTCAAGCTTTCTCCTCGTAGCTTCCATTTTGAGCCGCTTCTCAGCAACTTCAGCTCGCTCTGAGTAAACCTCCCGTGGAACAATATCATAACGGCTATCAGTTCGACTATCAGAACGGCCGTCGTCCATATCACTGCCTGAAGTGGTGGAAGGCGTCTGTGGCACTGGAGGTGGCATGGAGCCTGGATCTCGCATAGCAGCACTCATAAGAGCGGCCTCTCTTTTCTCCAGTTCCTTGTGATGAGCTTCCGCCCGTTTCTTAATCCTCAGTTCCTCCCACTGCAAACTCAGCATCTCACGCACCACCGCTGCAAATGACCCTATTGCTTCCAGCACCACTCTATCAGCTAGCTGATCTAATGCGTCTTGCCATCGTTGGCAGAGGCTATAAACAGGACTTGCCCCTGTGTTTTGTAAGGGAGACCCGGGCGACCGTAAAGGCGATCTAGATCCACTCCTCTCCAGCTCCTCATTCCCAAATTGCATGAGACTCAATCGTAACCATGCGGTTAAATTCTTCAGATAATCTCGTTGGGACTGTACAAACCTGCCCAGCCCCTCTGACCACCTAAAACAATAGTTTTAAACCAAGATTAGTAACATTATCTAGTGCATATATACAGCATCACAATAGTATTCTTTGTGGCCTTCATTTCGGCCACATTCGAACAAAATTTAAAACACAACTGCATAAAAATTTCATTGTCATTTGATCGACGTCTCAACAACTTCTAATTTAAATGAAAGGATTTGCAATTCGCAATATGGTATATGATTGCAAAAAGAGTAGGGAAAAAATGAAGGTTTACTTATTAAGTGCGAGTTCAAGTTGTGCGGTTGAATGGCGATGAGAACTTGTAGTTGGTGCACAGGCAGCAGAATAATCAAGTTTTTTCATAGCCACTACTGCTTTCAACTGGGCTTGATGACACAAAGACATGTCCCTCCACATGGTTCCCAACCTGCATTATATCCAACGAGGCAGCAATGAATGTCTTCGAAAGTTTCTTGAAAAAATTGAATTTATATCATTTTACATGCTAAAATCTATCAAAACTCAACAATGCTCAACTTGGCGTATCTAGTTTGACATTTTCAAGTTCCCTAAACATTAACCAACAAAGACGATACTACACGCCACTCACCCTTCGAGTAACTCCAGAAGTTGTGGGTACAGTTCATCATCCTTTAGCTTCTGAACCTGCTGTGCAGCACTGTCTACAGCTTGAATAGCTACTACCATACGAGTTTGGAGAGACTTGATACTGGCGCGAGTTTTATCAATGTTAGTTTGATCTTCATTCTTGGCATCCTGATTCCTAAATAAATGGTACTTCCTCTCCAACTCGATCCTTATAGCCTCTGCCTCCTGATTAAAGAAATCCCACATATTTCACCTTCGGGTCAGTTCCATAACCATCCCATGAAGGAATTCAAATGTCAATCAGAACTCCCAACCAAAAAAATCACATTCCAAGCATTTTTTTCTTCTCACTATGGTATAATACGCACCTTGACTTCTAAGTAAAGTTTCTTTTCCCAGGCATTCAATTTATCAAGAGTTCCTGCATGGCTGCCTGTCAGTCCACATTCTTCTGACCACCTTGCGACACTCATGTTGCTAACAGATCGCATGCTCGTTACACTCGCAGAGTCGTCAGTTAAAACACTTGTGTTACTGCTGGTCCTAGAATGTTGAGCACCCGTTGGCCCAGATTTTCCAGATAGCTTTAAGAAGTTTATCCTTGCAGATTCACCCACCACTGCACATTCACGAAGTAAGAGTATGATTATATAGACTAAAACATTAACAAATAATATTTAAAATACCAAATGTACATATCTATATATATAGATATATATAGATATTTGTCATTGATTTATAAAATATAAATGAATCTTGTAGGTTTGGTTTCGTCGGAAGCACCTTTTAAACCATCTGAAAAACTGGAATGATAGTGTGCTTTCTTTGTCTCCAGCATGCGTGCAACATTCTCTCCACTTTCCGCAGCTTTCAAAAAGTAATCATCAACCTCCTTCAGAACGTCGAGCAGATCCCGGTCGTCCTTTTCGGCCCTGATGACAGCCAAATTGGTGTTGAACTTCGCTGTTGCATATTCTCGTTGTTCAGGTTTCGGAGGTTTCGAAGTACTCTTCCCCAGCGTGGGCGACTTCGCTTCCTTCACTGCTTTCGCTACTTTCGATGGTTTTAGTGATTGCTCTTGAACCTGTGGCGAGCCTCTTCGCGGGGTCTCAGGTTCCGGTTCTGGTCCCTCGACAAATTTATCAACCTTCTCGTCATTTGTATCCTAAAACCATCACTCACAAAAATCCGAGACATTAAAAATAATGTAATTGTACATTCAAAACTTCAGCTCCGACTCAGATTGCACTCATTTATCAATCTATAGATCTGTCCATCAACAATGATGCCACTGAAAGGTCAATTTGTCACAACCAAAAGACGCAGAAGCCTAATGCTAGGAGATACCATGCAGTACCATGTCTATCTAAGCATTCCGTGATTATAATAAGTGAAAAGAAAGGTTTGAAAAGCAAGTTTTAAAATGTAAAATGATTCCAATGCATGTGCACAAATATCTACATCCTATCCAGAGCCCCACAAACAAGCTCTCAGAACATCAGCTGCATTCTAAAGTCGACACAAACGTCGAACATAGAAATGAACATTGTTTATACAAGCCTGCAGCCAAAACATGCAAACTACAAAATTCTAATAATCTGAAAGTGAAAGGTGCATAAGATGAAAAGCGCTAAATCACTCCACAAGTATCGGCAATTCAGGCTACTAACCTTAGCAGGTTGCCAAATAACCTCATCTACATCCTCAAGGTCAGGTACATCTGCTTCCTCCAGCTCTGGATAGGATGTAGATACTTGGTCCAGAAACTTCTGATTCGAATCCAGCACTGCTTCAAGGCATTCAACCTCAACAGATGACGATCTGTGCGGGATAATTTCTAGAGGTTGTTTAGGAGGGATCGCCTCAGCTCTGCTTTTCTCCATCTCTTCAACTTTCATCTGCTTTCGCTCCCAAATCCTCGAATCCTCCAACTCCTTGGCCTTCCTCTGTTTCTCATCAAACCTCCTCTGTTCGACCTCATTCTTTCTCCTCTGTTCCGCCTCCTGGATCCTTCGCTGCTCGGATTCCTGTTCACGCCTTCGCTCTTCCATCTTCTGAGACTGTTTCTCCTCCGATTCCTGATTCCTTCTGCTTTGCATGTAGTTGAAAGTCGGAGGTGAAGGTCGGAATGGATCCATAAATAAGTCCTGCCAACTGCCCCTACTGATGGTCGGTGTGGGAGGAGGACTACTCTTTCTAGCTATTCGCGATACAGGAAGATTTTGAGTAGAGTATCTCCAATCATCATCTAATTGTACAGGCTGAATCAGAGGTGGCGGAGGGGGGGACTCTTCTAATTTATATAGCTCTGGCATGTAAGAATTAGGAGATTCTTCAAACCTGTAAATTTTAGTTGGTACAACAGAGAGCGTATGCTCCATGCGATACTCCTTAGCAATTATGGGAGGTGGAGGCGGTAAAAAATCCATGCTTGAGCTGTCTGGTGAACTAGCTGCTCTTGAGTTAGGCGACCGTAGTTCTACATGGTTCACTTGTGGAGGTGAGTGAGGAAGAGGACGTGGTAAAAACATGGAAGATAAACCGGAGGAAAATGATCGTGGTGATAATAAGGGAGGAGGAGGAGGACCAAGTGATAGGGAGGGCGTCCTCGGAGTCCTTGGTGTTTCCGGAGGACAAATCATGTGAGTTTCTACGTCCTTTACCTCTCCCTCTGCAAATTGTCGGAAAGCTGAGCCAACCCCTTTAAGAGAAACAACAAACTGCGCATGCGAAGCTGCGAGGTTGTGTCGAGAAGCAACGGTCTGCTTCATGAGGCGCTTCCTCTGGTTGCATCTTGCAACTCCCTCCTCATTGTCTACTTTCGAGTTGGCGCACCCCATTACGAAGACTCTCTACCCAGAATCGACTTTCGTGATACAAAGTCAACTATAATGTCGAGAGGGAAACCTCTGAAGTCAATTAATAAAGATTCGAACTTGAAGACGAGAATAATCCACAACGTTTCATGCATTCCAAGTGTGTCCAGTTACAGCTTTCAAGTTGGGTTGGCTTCTGAGCTGCCACTGCACTTCTTCCACCTTGACTACGCAACGGTGGCTCCGTGAGTTTGAAAGAACCCACACACGCAGTTCGGAACGTTTACGCTGGGTAGCAACAGATCTTCCATACTTGAGATTCATTCCAATAGCCGATCGGCACAACTTGATCACATAAACGTTCAAAGATCCTCACTTCCTGTGTGCTGCGTAAACTTGCAAAAATCATCTAACAATATTCACACCAAAAACTGGCGTAAATACAGGTTTCGAAACTGCATCTAGTTCACTCCTGTACGATCAGAGTTAAATGTACCACTCTCTGATTATGAGCTCTATCTCATGCCACTGAAATAGCGACGTCCCATTTTCCTACTTTGCGATATGAAGAGTATGCAGTGATGCAAGCCGACTCTCTTCCAGTCACTGAGAGAATAATCTTTAGCTTAAGGTTCCTCCACTTGATAATGTGGACATCAGTATAAATTTTGTGCAATCTACTGTCTGGTGATTCAAATTGCACGCGCGTACAAAACTAGAGGGCGAAAACTTGCTCAGTCACAATAAGCTAACATCGAGCAGTGCCAAAAAGAAAAAAGCGACGGCAGATTGACGGACACATATTTCACTCAACGGTACGTCGTTGATACAAACAGAAAAGGGTCTCCACTTACACGGCAAATTTTACCAACACTCTGCCGCTCACTGCAGGCTGCTAACACCACAAACCGTCCGACCCATCCACCACAAGTTCCACCTCACACAGCACACATTGACGCAGAACACCACATCACTTGTACACTACCAAAACTACAATTATTGCTCAAAAGCTGAAGCCCTTCAGCGCCGGAGCTGATCCAAGAAAACAGCACAGACTACATCAAGAAAGAGACTTCAAATCATCGCCCCTCGGTCTGGAGCTCCTCATAATTCCTGCTGTCAAGAAGATTAGTCCCTTCCTCCCCTCTTTGGTAGCGTTCAAGACGTATGACTGGACAAGGAGGGGAAGAAGAAGAGTGAGAAAAACTACATCGCTACGCATCGCGTTTGCACAATCAAAACACTGCCACTCCGCAGCAAGCACACAACGACCATGGCGCCTCCTGGGTCGGAATTGCCCGCGCGAGCATCGTCGTATTCATTCGCATGCGCTTGCGTATATGTATAGGCCCCGATCGGAGACATGAGGGCGGCGGAGGGTCCCATTCATTCTCTCTATGTTCTGGCCCTTTTTGAATGAATTCAATGGGAATAGGACGTCGTGGTCTGATTGGCCCGTACCCGTCGGCTTCAAGCGCGAGCGGGTGAATTCGGTGACGCGTCCGCGGCTTCCGTCGGACGAATGACATGCCTTCATGGATGATCGTACAACATGGTTTCGTCGCGGACGGTTGGTTGGATGATTTTTCTGCGATGACGTGTCATCCTCATTAATGAAGCGAGTTCACATTTTCATCCATGAGGGGGAGTTTGAGCGGGAATATACCTACGTGGTAGATTCGCTACCTGCCATGGTGGCATTTAGCTTCGGCGTCCCCGAAGCTAGGGTTCTGACGAAGCGGTTCCAACTGCGCTATGAGGATTTTAACAGTAGCTGGTTCCCAATCATCTTCGACGTTCCCACTCTTCAACTGCTTCCATTTAAGCCCTGAGTGTCAGTTCTTAGAAATGGCTCCAGAGGAAAATCTTTAAGTGAGTAAGCGTTGACCTAATTAAAAAAACGCTCAGGAAACTTTGGTTTTCTCTATGGACCCAAAAACTGTATCCATAGATCTAGAATACATTGGATGAGTTTTGAGGGATCAAACAATTAACTACATGTCCTTGCAGTACTTATTCAAACTTTAGAATAAAATGTTTTCATCTGAACAAGATTCTCGAGAGCTTTATTTGAATATTCACAACATTGTCTGTTTTTTCATTTAGATACAGTAACAAGAACACAACAAATCTAATGAACTCCAAACTAACTTTTGTGAGATAAATTATTTGATTCTCATCCATTATGTAAGTAAGCACAACACATGTTCCACTAATCACACATGCAGATAGGTGTTAAAGTATTCTGTCAAGGAAAGAGTTTTAAGTTACAGTTTGCTTTTTCTTTTCTTTTTGTATGTGTTCATAACATACAGCTCTTTTCATCAACTCCATGGACTATCAATTTTGGGAGGACAGCATGGTATCAATCTATATATATATATATGTATACATACATTGACATGCATATTTTTCCATACCATGTGATTTTGGGGACTTGTTGAACATGGAGAGTCAACAAATGTGAGAGCACTTAAAGTATCCAATTCACTTATTCAAAGACTATTCAAAACCCACCTCCTGTTAGTACCTTCTGCAAATACTGCCTCACTGATGGGCAAGGACCCAAAACCCTAAAACTGAACCCTAAAACCTGGTGCTTGCCTGGGCAAGCTGCTACAAGGGCAACCCAAGATGCAGTCCACAAGCCTCAAACCCTAAAACTTGATGCTTTTCTCACTCTGATTTCAGCACCTCCTCCTCCTGTTGATGGCATATACAATCCCATGGAAGGCCATGTAATGCATTCACACCTGATCCAATCTTCACTCCTAGACCCATCCACAAACATGTTGCAAAATCTTAGGGGCACACTCATCAACATGAATGCAACCTCCCATCTGACAAGAATTTCCTCCTTTGATTGGTACTGGATTGGAGCATTCATCATTTATATTAATCAATGACATTGGAAGGTCAATTATGAAGTTATGAATCTGAAGTGTTGTATCATATATTTCTTTTCTTTTCTTGAATGCTTGATTGTATCAAAAAAAGGTACAAGACTTGTTAACTTCCATCAACTTTATATATACATATTTATATTCATTCATTCATTTGTGTGTGAGTGTGTGTGTGTTTTTGTTAAATGTTAAAAGGTTTTATGAGTGCACTACAAATCAATAAAGATGTATACAGGAATGATTAATTAATTATGTAGTTAACTATACACAGGAATGAGTTGTGATGTACCTTGACCAGAATTTGGATGTTGAAGCTATTGTCATTTAAAGACACAATAGTTTTGGACAACAAACTGTAGCTAAACCATTGCAATTACTATTAGAGGTGGCCTTTTATGATATAAAGATGAGAGAGAAAGTAGAAAGTATTGCATCCAATATCAAGAATTATGATGCAATCTAGATGGAATGGGAATTGCAGTAATCAAGATTCTTGGACAGTCATAAATAATTTTTACAGTTTTATTCATTTAGAGATAGTACATGTTTTGATTTGTAATAAATAGTATTAAAATGAAGACATACTGTTATATTGTATAATACTATGTGCATATATACATATATACATGTATATATGTATAAATACTATCTACCAAGATAACTTATTTTTGAGAAAATCAAAAGTCCCCTGGGGGTGTGAATATATATGTATATATATATATATATATATATATAACACAAGGTAGTATGTGTTCTAAACTATCACCAAATTTGATTAAGTTATAATATTGTTAAATATAATATTATACTTAAAGTACTAGTATTAATGGATGAAGTTCATGTAATCAATGTAGAATTCAAATTGATCTAATATAAATAAGCATGTCATATGAAACAGACAAACGCATTAATGCTAAATGGTTAATTTAGTTTTTACTGTTTACTTTGCTTAATACAAGGTGTTGTGTTAGTTAATCTAGTGATGTTAAAAGAAAACACTTAATAATATAATTCTCTGGAAAGAATTATTAATTCTTTTCTTTTCTTTTCATTTTTGTATGATACATTTCAAGAAAATCCAGGTGTTGATTTTCATCACATATTTTTCTACTGATTAAGAATTTGAAGTTTTAAATATGACAACATTTCATCCAATCTCACCCAAGATACATTATTTTAATTGAATCTACTACACAGATATACTAAACACAATCAACAAACTATACCATAAATTATTAATATTATAATTAGATTGCAAAGAGCATGCAACACTCAGTCACCATCATTCCGTTGATTCAGCACTGCTGTTTTCTAATAAAATACATGGAGGTAAAAAATAAATAAATAGAAATAAAAAGAATATATGTATTCTAGAATTCAGGCCTCTCCATGCATCTTCACATAAGTTTCTTTACTATGGGTAGAATGTTTTTATATATATAAAAAAAATGTTAGAGCCTTTCCTATTGCCTTGTATGGAGGTCCAAAATCTTGTCATGGATACATGCATACATTCCAGGAGGAGCCTATGTACATTGTTCCCATTTCTTCATGTACATGGTTCCCAAGTCCCTGTTCCCATGCCTGGGTTCCTGATCAGTTGGATTTGGTGGGTTATGGTCACTTCAACACTTAAGTAGTAGGATTGTTTTGACTGTGGCTGGTGTCCCTTCCTAGATCAGAGCTCTCAACTGACAGCTCCATTTCATAAACCCTAGGACAAACCCTAAAACCCACATGAGCAAGGCAAGCGAGGCAAGCCACAGAGGAAGAGGAAGAAGAACAAAGAAGAGCTGCTGCTGCTGCTGGGTACTCATAAGCGGAGGCAAATCCTCATTTTGTGCAACGAGAAACAAGGACATGTGTACCACTCTCTCCCCCTCGTGGGGAGTGATTCAAATCACTATTCAAATCCAGCACACAAGCTTCCCTGACACGCTCTGGATCTGAAACCTATCAAGGTCAAGTGTGCAGGGGAACTTGGATGGGACAAAATGAGTGATGTGGGCTGCCATCCAAACTCTCTATCATCCAACAAACGAATTCTTTCTTCTTTTTGGTGTAGGCAACAGGTTTAGGGCTCACAGAAAAGATCAATCTGACCATTATTGGTTGGTGCACAAAAGGAGCTTGTGTGTGTGTGTGTGTGTGTGTTTTTTTTTCTTCTTTTTGTCATTGTGGGGCTTTGGTTCTTCACTGCCATCAATCATAGCATGTTCTTAGAAAACTCCTCCATTATTAGTGTCACACAAAGAAGACATCCAACTTATCATCTTGCATAGTCTAGTTTGAGTCAAATCCAAATTTGCAAAGAAAGAAAGAAGAAGAAAGTGTGTGTGTATGGAGCAAATTGTGAATATAAGCGATTTTTTTTTTTTTTTTTTTTTTTTTTTTTTTGTGTTCAATGAAGAAGATGAAATAACAAAGTGGAAAATGTTGTTTCTGTTTGATTCTTCAAGAATTTTGACTCATTAGTAGAATATATTAAAAAATAAGAAAATTAAACAACTCGCACTTTATTTGATAGCTTGCAAAAGGCCCATGCTTACAACCACAACATCCCATCTATTTACTTCAAAAGAATATTGTGGAAACATCTCCACTTACATGCTGGATGTATATCCCACCAGTGTTTGTTATTGTTTTCCCCATGTTTTGATATAGCTTTAGGGCACACACAACCAGAAAGAAAAAAAGAAGAAAGAAAAAAGAGAAAACAATTTTGTGTTTACATCAGGTCCAATAGCTAAGAAGTGTAAAAATTATTATTTTCTTTCTCTCTTTTTATGAAGTGAAACATTGGCAAAAACAATATTCCCTGGAATCAATGCCTTTGCAACACAAAATCATTGAAGTTGTACAAACACAAAACTGGCAGTGACTGAATGTGATTGTGGGTTTTTGACATGTTCACTGAAACAAACATGTTTTTAGTTTTCAATATATATATATATATATATATATTATACTGCAAGTGTTTGATGTTGTCTGAATGGGAATCTGTTGAAATCATTGAGGGATGTGGCAATGCCTTTTGATAGACAGGCTGTTGAGGAAGAATCATCAATACTTTCTTTGCATTGCTTATATCCAGGGTCACTTCAGACATACCATGGATGAGAGAGAGTGTGTTTGTCCACTCAGATCTTGTTAGATGATTCAAGGCTAACAAAAAATTAAAAAAGAAAATATCATATTTGCATCATAGACTTTTTTTGTAGTAGCATACAAACATAGTTAAAATATTTTGTTTGTTCAAAAATTTAAAATTTTTAAAATATAAAAGTTTCAAACTATACTAGGTGAAAAGACTATTATTTAATGATTGTTGAAGCTTTCACAACCAAACAACACAATTTATATGTTATCAAATTTATGAGCATCTCTACCGTTGGCACCAAAAAAGCCAAGCAAGGGGTGGATGTTGTAGGTTTATGGCATTGTA